TGTACATCTTTCATGTCTAGGTAACGTTATGGCGAGAAACAGTAGACGGATGGATTTGTGTTAGTGATATTAATAAAGGAACGGGACAAGAGCCAGCGAAATAGTTTATCTCTAGTTAACGGTACATTATAATGCGTTTTGTTATACTAATCACTTTGTGTAATCGCGAGATAATCCTGTATATGACTGAATGGCAGCTATATAGATTTCTACCCGGGAATTTCTTGCTTTGATTAACACAAAGACAAAATAGATTTATATATTTCTATAAATTAACAAAACGTATTTATTTCTTGAGACATGGAAATTTTCAAACTACTTTTGTCTAAATTTACATTTTGCTAATATCTTTCGATGATTGGCGAAGGAAACCCAAATGATGGACCCGGCGAACCACGTGAAACGTCAAAGGAAGATGAGATCGTCTCGCAACGTGTTCCGTCACATGATTGCTGTTACATTTTCTGGGTTGAGATGTCTCTTCGGAGATGAATTATCTACAGTACGTGCTGTACAGGCGGTTTGTTATAGAGCAGAGGTGGAAAATTTTTTTTTCCTATCTGGGAACTTAGGTCAGTGCTCAAACTTTTCTGCAAAAGACTGACAATAGGGAGAAATAACAAAATTGTCATTTATAAGATAAATCCTGAAGTGATAAAGTTTTACAGGATTAAAAACAAATTTCCCACTGCAGGCTACACGAGTATTTTTGATAAAACTGTTCCGCTGTAATTTAGGTAACGAGTTAGTGGATTAATTAAGGTATTCAATCATTTCAATAATCAAGTATTTAGTAATTTAGATATCAAACATAAAAAATGTCTGTGAGCGTTTCGGCAGGAATGTAGATTCTAAAAATTTCTGATCCATTTTCCACCTCTGTTATAAAGTAATATGGTTACTAGAATTTACCTGGAATTGAAGAATAAGTGCTTTGCTTTCATAAACCAGAACAATAGACCAATTCGAAAACTAGCTGCCAATGCTTTGCATTATTTTATATTTACGATTTAAAACGATTTATGCAAGCCCAAATTATAGCCCTTTGGAATGAGCAAACAGCACCAAAACGAGACTAGTCAGTCTTCTTTGTTAAATCTAGCATAAACGTCGGTAATTGACAACTAATTTTCGAATCGGTATATTGTATAGTAATTCAATTTTCACACACGATAGTGCACGCTTCCTTCAAAGTTATATATGTCTTGTAAAATATATTATTAATAAATTGCAATTAAATTGTTTTTGGTTTCTTCGTTCACCATTGAGCCATTTCTTTGGCACGATATATATTAACACAATATGCAAATTCATCAATGATTATAATGTGTAAATAATTATCTGATCAATATTGTATTGGAATGCTCCATCTATATTAAATAATAGGAGAAAAAAATTAGTAAACTAGTTCCTATATCCAAATCACAGAAATATTCTACTCTGACGAAAAAGCTGATCATAAGCAAAATATATATGGACCTTATTCCCTAATGAACAAAATCTTGATCTAGACAAGTCTATAGACAACCATTTCACCTTTTTTTCAGAAAGCAGTATCAATTTCCCGTGTGTATACAAAATGCTAAAAAACGGCAAATTTCGCAGTGCTATATTATCCGCATTTTACAACATTTCGTAACGAAACTTCGGAATATTACTAATTTTGTGATGTTCTTTCAAATTTTTGTCTAGACTTGTCTAAGATCAAAATTTTGTTCATTAGGTTTAATATAGGTCCATTTTAAACCAAGGTAAAAAATTGCGCTGGTATAGATAATTAATGCGAAGCCTTGCGATTTCATTGGCTGGCTGGTCATGAGGAAAAACACCGCCATGTTTAAAGTTCTTTCTCGACATGCGAGTTGCTGCGAAGTACAACGAATATTTCATGGCGAAAATTGGATTTTGTACAGTACATTAAAGAAGTTTGAAGCACAGAAAACAGCAAAGGTTAGGAGCACTTTATATGTATTTTTCTGAGTACATAGTTCACGTTTTGCCGTTCTAATTTAACACTTAATAATCGTAATGAGTGTACACGTGGTGTATAAATGTTATGTCGCTTAATACAGACGAGTAAGACAAACAAAGACAACATTTTTTTACGACAAGTTTTTGTTTGGTTTTCTGGCCGTCATATTTTCTTTGTTGACCCACACAGACGAGCAAAATCTGTATATTGCCACGTTTTTCAATGACAACTACACTGACTTGTTCAAAAGCTAGCATCCTATAGCTTTGAACGAAGTGTGAACTTGTCATAGAAAAACTTTGCAAAGCTGCCTATAATCTATATGCAGACGAGCAAATAAAACGTGTCAAAGCGCGTAGACAGAAGATTGTGGCGCAGTTTCCTGAATGAAGTCCATACGTATTTCGAAACTTCAACCAATATTCAATAATCTTTATTCTTGTGTGAAGTACAGAGGTGTGAAGTAATGTATTGTAGCGTTATAGCTGTATGGATATAAACTATTTACGTGTCAATACGGATCGGAAAAAGCAATTTTTAAACCAGCGACTAGATGAATTTAGTGATTTTCGTCAGTACGTAAATAAGTGGATATATACCTGTCCAATATCATTATAAACCAGACAAGTCAATCAGATCAGCCTGTAATGAGGAATTAGAAAAGTCAGTAAAATGTAAAAATTAATGGGGTTTTGGTGTCCATCAGTGATCGGAATGTTCATTGTATTTTCATTGTTTTAAAAACCCACTGTTCTCCATGTCATCCACCAGTCACTCAATGTTTTGACATATTTCATCCAATATGGCGAAAATCTCTGACACTTGCTCTATGCTTTCGTCATTTGAATCCCTGGGCATTTATACGTACCTAATATAGTGACTACCTAATATACTGGTAACTCGGGCACAGAATAAAGATCCGTAACAGAAGGGCCAAAAATATGCAGTTTACTGGCCAGAAGGCGGAGCAGCCAGCCAGTACAGCGTGTTTATTCGCCAGAAAATGTCATTGACTGGCTAGGAAAATGGCGGCCAACATGCATAATGCGCGAGGACAGAAGCTTCAAAGCTTCCGACGTAAGTGGCCCTTCTGTATGGATCTTTATTCTATGACTAGGGCATAGAGTTCATTTCCTACCTGCGCTATCGGTTTGGGTTGAATAGGAACAACATCCCCTAATATGTTATCAGTATTATCACAGTCTAGTAAATCATCTATGGTCTGAGATTTGGTATCAACCAAGGGAGGATCGTTGTCAGGGATCAATTTTCTATTTGTCTTTCTTGTGCTCTACATAACACAGATTGAAAATTATATTAAAATATTTTAACAGTTGTGGTATCTCTCAGGCAACGCTCATAGGCCCTGGGGTTTGTAGGAATGCAAGAGACTTGCAGTTCATGCATGAGCATTACATTGTAAAAACTATCATGGGATGAGAAGTATTACAAAAAAGTATTTGTATTGAGATATTTTGATAGAGGGATTTTGCCCAGCAAAAACGGTTTCAATTTAAAAAATTCGCAGTTCTCTAACAAACCAATAAGATCTATCCCTTGATTTTGGTCGTCTAATCCATAGCCTACGTTTCAACGAGACCCATTCTATTGAAAATAGCTCTGAGGACGAGAATGGGTATTCCTGGAAATTAACATGGGTGGCGAATGGTTGTTCTCCCTGTGTGAAAGTCTGCACCCTTACCATGCCTTTTCTAGTGAGAGGAGGCAACGCGTACTAGCGTCATGTCTTGCGTGTTAAAGTTCTTATACTGTACCTTGGGTTTCGAAACTGGTGAAAGTGATAGCAAGATGCTATCATCCCCTGAACTTCTTAACACTCGTCTTGATGCTGAAGAAGGCGCGCTGTGAGTAGGGGTGGGGTTGGACGATCTTCGTTTACATGTAGACGATGTTGCCCTTGGTTCTGTAATTTTGCCAGCTACAATATAGGATTGTCTCGATCAATAATTACCATGAAACACTACATTTGTATATAAATCTATTTTCCACATGTTCTACTTAAATCTATCTTTCCTACCTGGTTTTCTTGGGGTGAAATATTTCGGCGGTGAACCTTCTCGGGAACTGGTACTAGACAAGGAAGATTTGAAACTCGATCGTCGCCTGGCAACAGGCAATGATGACGACGATCTTGGCGTAGCTGCCATGGGGATTTTATCATCCCTCAATTCTTGTTCTGTTGATGGTGGTGGCTACAGGGTAAAGAACACAAAAATTTAGGCGACTATGGTAGAGAGTTATCATAGTCACCTGATAGAAAACAAGGTGCTGTTGTCAAATCATGCA